TGGAGTGTGGTCTGTTGTGGTCTACTTCGGCAGACCTGCCGTCGGGGCATCGTTGTTGAGTGCGTAAGCGATCCTGTAATGAGAATTGTATCGTGTATAGATAACGTATTATAAACGTTTTACGTTTTAAAAAGGAACTAGAAAGAAATATAATATTATTTCAGAAACAAAGTTGAAACTTATTTTATACAAATTATACTTTGGGCACGATTTCTTACATTGCAATTTCTAATACAGTAGAGCAATAGGTTTTACTGCTACTTCACCCTGTAATGATTTCACTACCACGTGAATTTTCAGTATATGCGAACTTTCGCGATCTTAATAAGTTTACTGATTTGATTTTTTTTCGCACAATTATAATGATTAATGATCATGTAATAATGATACGACGAATGTAATAATTAACTTGCCTATTTTGCAGTGAGTGAACGAAAGAAGTACTCGTCACTAATTTTTAGGGTACCTGAAAAAAGTATGGACCTCTTCTAGAATATCTTTCTGTTTGCCATACCATTTCTTGTACTGGATTTAGATTGAGGTGATCTAAAAACTGGCTTAAATTAAGGACTTCAAATATATTTATTAAAGTTTTAGCCCCCACCGCTGGGTATAGGCATCCCTATAATATCAGGCTATAGTCCACGCTGGCCAAGTACGCCAGTAGTGGTCAGGTTCTCTCAGACAGGTTTTCCTTCATCGTTCGACAAGTGATAATCATGTTGAAAATGATTTGCATATGAAAATATCAGAAATGCCTTAGATTATTAACATATAAATAATCTAAGAGAAATGCAAGACCCGGCATTTGAACCCGCTTCGATTGGTTTCTCAAGCATACGCGTTACTACTGGGCTACCGCTGCCTTTATTAAAACAATATTTTAATTTTTGTATATTCTTTTTAATATATGATAAAATTACTACCATTTAAATGATCTGCAAATAAAATATTATTATATACTTATTATAAATTTATTATATCTTATGTTTGTTAGAACTGTTATGTTTACTTCGAAAAATAAGTTCTCCTATTAAATTAACATTATAAATAAAAGAATTGTAAGTGAATAAATGTTAAAAATATATGTAAATTCTTATTATGTTAGAGCTGTTGTTGCTTTGAGCAGTTTGCCTTACAAAACTCGTTTGCATACTTAGCGTACGCGATATCTTCGACTACGTATTCCTTATTAAGCTAACCTGTATTCTTTAATGTAATAAAATAACTAAGAATTTCATATTTTACTTTCTTTACTATTACAAAATTAATATTTATATCGGAAAAAAAATTAGATATTAATATATTTTTTCATGTTTATGCTGAGTTTTTTTTTATTTCGAAGGATGCTTTCATTCTGCATCGTAAATAAAAATGCACATAATATAATATATAATACTAGCAGAACCCGCGGCATCGCTCGCGCTAAAACTACAAAAAAAAACTTTAAAATGGTAGGTTTCATACAAACTTTCATCCGTTATTTTACCCCCTTATGGGATGAATTTCGAAAAATGCTAAAATACGTATTTATTTAATTTTATTGAAGAGCATTAATACCAAGTTTCAAGTAATTCTGATCATAAATATTTTTTTGGAATGTATTATAACGTGTTTTCTCGTAGGAAAGAGATAATCTCCCGCGGTAAAAAGTAGCCTATGTCACAAAGACAAACAAACAAACACACTTTCAAATTTATAATATTAAAGTATTGATATATGTACGTGTATTAATTTAGAAGTATATTTTATAAAATAAAGTAGGATATTGGGTATATATCATGTAATGTCTTACAATGGAGAAAACGAGAAATGTGGAATTTCATTATGATTTCTTAATCTATCCTGTTTAAAAGAAGAATGTAGATTAAAAAAAAATTAAATTTGTAAGCCACACAAAAGTTTTATAATCTGTTTCATAATTAAAAAACGCACAGATTTTTACGAAGTAAATATGAACTGTTAATTTGTATTAGTTATTACTTTAGTTTCAGATATCTAGAATGCTCGTGAATAATAGTGTTTATTTTGAACGTTTAAATATATCTACAAGAAGGAATACATTTAAAACTTGGCACTTCATCATTTTTCAGCTTGACCTGACTTTTTAATCATTTTACTGCTAAATTCTGTTAGATATAAATGAATTTAATTATAATACTGCCGATAATACGTCGAACTAGAGCTATTGTGTATGTTTAATTTTTTGAGTGTTTTTTTGTCAACTTTCTAAAATTCACACTTGTTTTTTTTATTATTTTATGTACATATTTTAATGTCTCTAACTTTGATTAGAAGGCGTAACGTGACACATCTGATTCTGTGAGCGTGTTTTTTAGATATATTTATTTGTCAATAGATGTCCCGATCGAACATAAAAATGATATTTAATATTATAATGTAACAAAAACAAAGTGCCGAGTTAAGTATTCTTTATTTTATATTCATAAGTCATACGTGACAATCTATTATTTATTGGTAATAATTATTTCTTTGTCGTAGACAAAAAATACGTTGATACAAGTGTTTTGATAACATTTTAAGGATAATGGTTTCTTTGTTTTTGCTGTTTGCCAAGTGAGAACTGAGAAGGTTCTAGAATACCAATACTTCTCCATAGAGTCAGAGTCGCTTATGTCATACTAGAGCTACGACCAATTATAATATAATGACACTATAACTCGTGACATCGATACTTATTAGGTACCTGCTCATAATAATACCTTAATGCAAGCAAATATTTAATTTTCTTATTAAGTTTACCTGTAAACAAAACAAAGTAAAAATTCAATGCCACTTTTTAATCCTAAATACTATATACTCTTTCAGATGACCAAAAACCAAATTCTTAGGTTTTACGAGTATACTCTTACATTGCAGTTTTTGTATTTTTTCTCAGAAATGAGATATTTTTCCGCGGTAAAAAGTCCTATATGTTAACCCGGATAACCATCTATCATCATACCAAATTTCATCAAAATCCCTCCAGAGGTATTTCCGTGGTGCGGTAACAGACAGACAGACAGACAGACAAAAATTCCAAAAACTGTAGATTCGGCCTCTGTATCGATAATAATGTCTATTTCAATAAGGTTTTCCAAAAAATATTTAATGTACAGATTCGGCTTAGTTACAATTTTATTATATGTATAGATATGGTAGTTATAGCGGTCAGTTTTTTAACAGCAATAAAAGCGAAAGGTTACGAGATGTTTATAAGTAGCTATAGCCACAACACTCGAGAAGTGTTTGGAAAGAGAAATTTGTCTGCGCTGTAATAAATGAGAATATCATAACATTGCTACAGTTAAAGAGATCTTGTTAGGGACATTTTTACGGACTACGGCTTTTCCGCACTCAGTCAATTATTGTTCGTTGTGCGTACACTTCGTTTGTAAACTTGATTTTTTATGTTTCGAAAATAAACCATAATAAGTGGTATTTGGAAGTTTAACATTAAAAAGTTAGATTTAAATACTGAAATGACTTCATTCTATTTAATAGCTTTAAAGAAATCCATGTTTTATAAAAAGAAGCTGTTTTTTTGAAACATTAGGCAAATAAAAAATATAATATGATCTTATATATATATATATATATATATATATATATATATATATATATATATATTAATAGTATTTAATTCCAAGAAATATGAAGAAGGCTAGAGTCTATATATGTAATTAGCTACACATACATACATACATACATACATACATACATACTTTCATTATCGACAGGGCCACTTTCTACGTTCTTTCTAATCAAGTATAGCAGAACAGTTCTCCGAAATGAACCGAAGAGTAACAAATATCAAAGTGAAACTAGGCTATTGTTTTTATACATTTATTTTTATTCAGTTTTGGTTATTTAATTGTTGAAAAAATATAAGGTACAAAATAAATATTTAGATTAACAGTTTTAGTTTAACTGCTGCATTTTGAACATTTAATATTTTAGTAAGTAATAACTAAGCGATGCGTTATATCCAAAATTTGTTATAAATGAACTATAATAGTAATAAATTTTAAATTTGTCCTCTATACTTGTAATTACACATTTTGTTACGTGTTATCTGAATATATTATATTAAAAATATAGTTTTACATGATTAGAAAAATAGAAAAATATATTTGATAAGTGTATGCAAAATGAAGATTTAATAAATATCTAAAACAGGTATATGTATTACAAGACATTAAAACCATTTTATACGTATATTATGACATTGGATCTTGCGTTATATTTTATAAGGTTGTCCTTGTTAATAAATTAAGTGAGCACTCACAGCAAGTAAAATTACTTAAGATATTAACACTAATGCAAAATCAAATAAAAACATCAAACAATATAATGAGATAAACACGTTTATTTTAAGTTGCACACATCGTCACGACCATACATGTGAGAAACTCGCGTTATCAAGTTTAGTGTGTATGTCTTCTATACATTTTAATGATATTCCTTATCTTAACTTTCATAAAATTACATTAAAATGATATGATACAAATAAATAAGCTTTCATTTGAGCAAACCGTAAAAGATTAACTTGAGAAAAAATTATTATTCTAGATATTAGCCATAAATATACGAGTACATTTTAGAGAATAGTATACAAAACTTAAGTCAAGAACGTAAAGATGTTCCGCTTGTTATTTGTATGTTTTCGGAATGTTTAAATGGAATGTTTACTGTTGAGCGAAATCCGGCATTTGGCAGCGCGTCCCCGACCTTTCGCTTCCCATACAACTACACGGGTCGTCTTCAACATCGAAATGCCTTCGATCGGCGCAAAGGCCATATCATCGAATTAACAACATAATACACTTATCACTAATTTTTATAATAATATACAAAGCTATTTACATAGCGTATTATCACTGAAAGGACCATCTGGTCAAGGTAACATTTAATATTTGGTAGTTTTACACTTGTCGCTTTAAGCGTTGCAGTGGAAGTTTCAGGGTCAAGTGATGACCGAGAGTTTATAAGGATAATTAAGCAAGCATGTGCGCTAGCGCGAGTACTACCAGAGAAGCAGTAATCGTTTTAGATGCCGCCCCGTTTTGCGTCGGTGTGTTTGATTGTGGCGGCTTCAGATCTTCAGCATATATGTAACTTTTCAAACCTGTGTAGGATCTGAGAATTCTATAATTTACTTCGTCCACAGATACTTGATTTTTTACAAAATTATACAATCTGTTTATAACAACGTAGATGTTTCCACGGTCGTCGAATGTAAAACGATCTATCCATTGAATATAGTTCATGTCCCGAGCGATAGTTCGTTGATTGACACGAAAATCAGTTGTTGAATTCCATTCCGCTATGGTCGAGTTACCAATTAGACCGAAGAAGAGCATCCCTGTTGAGTCCATCTTCATTCCATCCGTCTGTGACGGCTTTGTTCCGAGATCGACGACGTTCGCGCGGACAGCGAGTTCGCCTCGGGCCGCTAGTGATTCGTTTCTTAAAATTGATGCATTTATTGCGTAAAGGTGGAAGCTAGAAAGCGGACAGTAGTAAACCGTCCGATCGACTTCACCATCTTCAGTGAAAAATTGAGGTCCTAGCGCTATACCGTCTATATTTACGGGGAGATTCACTGTCGTGCCATTGATGCGGAATAACGCCGCTTCCGGAGCAGCCATCATGGACTTCGTGTCACGCAACTTCCACGATTTTTTATCGCTAAGGCGGAATACGATTATACCTGGATCGACAGCGCTATTGTCAGTTATATACGCGTAATCACCATCACGGTTGTCAATAACGAGGTCATTTAAATATGACGTAGTGGGATTCACTGTTTCCGGCGGAAATGGTGTACGCTCTATTTTATTTTCACCTGATTTCAAATCGATTCTTACGATCGAAGGAGGACACTTAATACTTGGATGTTGAGTTAGAGTACCGACGCGTCCGTTATCCAAAATCCACATAATACCATTGCGGTCAATTTCAATGTTTTGCACAAATTGTAGAGCATCGCAGTTGCCGATGGTGTTATCGTTCCAGCTGGGGAATGGTTTTAACTTTGGCGCTGTTGTATCATTTTGTTGTGCTGGGATGTAGGCGAGGGTGGCGGGAACACCGTCCAGCATTCGCGGTAGAGTTAAAAAAATTTTATCTTCGTAGTAGTTGATTCCAGAAATTAGAACATTTTGAGGGATGTATCGACTGTTATTAAGATAGTTTTCTCGGTCTGTAGGTGATTCCCACTCGAAGTCGATAGTGCGCCACTCATAAATAACCCTGAATTGTTCACGTTGCGACGTGGGCGGGCGGCTCGACTGCTGGGCGGCCGCGGCCACGATGACGGCGATAAGAACCACTAATTTCATGATGATTGCAGGCCCGACTTGTAAGCGTGCAACGCAGGCGACGCGAACGATGCGACTGACGCTCGACCACCTCGCCGTGCGTGACTCGCGGACTCTGCTTACCGCTTTGCGTGTCAACTCAATACGTCATTGTTATTGGCAGCTGGCGAATCACTATTAATGAATTCCTTCAACATAAACACATTATCTCAATTCAATAGACGTTATAGTGTATATATGTATTGAAAGTGTCAAAAACGTCCCGGAAAGGGTGCACCAAGGTCACTCGTCTCACCCTAGCTAGACGGAGGGTCCGACAGTCTCGCCGTTTATGTATAAATCGTACATTGAATCGATTTCAATATTTCCCAAGTGTGCTCTAGCGTATAAAGCTATTAACATTAATATAAACACGCTATTCGTATCTTGAAATCTTATAAAACTTGTATAACATAGTTTTGGAAGCTAATACTACTATTTTGTGTATTACGACATTTTTATAAAGATAACTTTCTTACATTCGTAATAATTTTTAATTTGTAAAAAAACTGAAATAATAACGCATCTAAGTAGTGTAAGTACAGATGAAAGCTTTCATAAATCAAAAGATTTGACTTGTTACGTAGGTGTAAAGCTTAGTAATAAGCTAATTAATTATAATCGACTCCCACATTTACTATAGACCGTGATTAATTCATGCATCGTTATAGACTTTCCATTCATTGATTGTCTAAATTCCAAATAATATTTATAATTTATATATGTACGTAGTCATAGTAAGAGTGTGTATTTGTGACCTGTGTGTGACCTTTAGTTTAGAGTATGTACACGTATTCGTGACTCAGAATGGGAACAGGTTTATTTACAGTGAATCACCACAACAATAAAGCATCCTTGTAATAAGTAGGTAATTTTTAGTGTTAGATATTACATTATATATATATATATATTATGATGATGATGATTCTACAATATTTTATATAAGTAGGTATTATAATTTGGCTATTTTTGTATTGTAATTTCTATAGTTTTTTTTATTTATTTAAATAACAGTATTTTAGTTCTATTATCGTTTTCTACCTAACTTTTCTACTTCTTTTGAAATGAAATTCATTCATAAACTATATACTCCATGTATGTTAATAAATATATTAGCGTTTACCGTATACAGAGTAACCCATGGTGACTTTGAATTACAATAATTTACGTTACATTATCCTAATACGGTTTTATTTTCTACGCCTTCTGCAAAAGCTTGCCTAGTTAACTAACTTAAAGAGATTGAAATATTTTTTATATTTAAATTTGTCTTTGAGAAATTTTCGGTATTTAAAACAACAATAATCCCATTAATATTATAAATGCGAAATTTTGGGTGTATGTTAATCAATCACGTCAGAACGGCTGAACGGATTTGGATGGGGCTTGGGCTTGGCACATAGACAGATTATAGTCTGGAATAACACATATTTCCCCTGAGATAGATTTTATTTTTCACTATAGATAGACAAACCCAAGCGAAGCGAGGGTGAGTAGCTAGTATGACATATTTATTCTTTAATATGAATTAAATATTTTAAAACTATGATTAAATACTTATAGTATTCATTATTTGACGTCGACATTTTATTCATCAAAAAACAAACTATGGTAAATGGGAATTCCTTTAGTTCAAAGCTACACCCTTCTGAGTACAATATTCCCCGCCATTGATTCATTAGTGTAAACCGTCAACCACTCGGAATATTATTCTTGTTAGTCATATTTTTACATTTGTAAGGATTAAGCAGATTGTCTCAGTACCATTGAGCTTAGCATTAATTATTTATATTGTGAATTTGTTTGCGTGTTTGTGTGTGTGTATGTTGTGTGTGTATATGTGTGCGTGTTTATGTGTGTATGTTCACACACACACACGCACATATTTCTTGTACAGATTTCACTTTGTTACTATTTTATTAAAAGTACTTCTACTAAAATAGTAATACATAGTAAGTTCGTTGGCTTGTCCTGCATTCATGAAGTAATGGATCAATAAGAAGAGCCTTAGAGGAAGTTTATTGACCGGAGAGTGCCACAGGGTATTTTATCCCTAAACATGAAATGCTTCACGTGAATTATCGGAATATTACTAACAGGCACTAGACAGTAGACATATCTCATTAGTTTATTAAATCTATACATATAATAAAATCGTAACTAAGTCGAATCTGTACATTAAATATTTTTTGGAAAATCTAATTGAAATAGACATTATTATAGATACAGAGTCCGAATCTATAGTTTTTAGAATTTTTGTCTGTCTGTCTGTTACCGCATCACGAGAAAACCACTGGACAGATTTTGACGAAATTTGGTATGATGATACTTTTTACCGCGGGAAAATAACTCATTTCTGAGAAAAAATACAACAACTGTATTGTTAGAATATACTAATATGTAAAACCTAAGAATTTTTGGCATCTGAACGCGGGCGGAGCCGCGGGTAATGCTAGTTATGTCATATTTCAGAATTATTCTTGTGTGTTTAACTTAGCTTAGCTTAATAGTAGCTGTAATTTAATTAATATAAATTAATTACACAAGAGAATTAGAAAAAGCTCTTCATTACAGCTAATGTAATATATGTATATGTTCATTATTTAATAGTTAAAACAATAAAAATATTAATAATGTTTTAAAAATGTATACCACATTTTCTAAGTCTTAACTGCTAAAATTTTAATCGCGTACTACTCGAAGGCTTTTTGAGAATTCTTCCTATAGAGCTGCCATTCATACGACCTTAATATATTAAGCCGACTGCACTTCACCATAAATAATATTCTCAGCATCGAAATATAACCTTTATGTATTTGTCATAAGGGTTCCAAAACAAAGAATATTTTAAATTCAATAGATTCGACGCTAAAGGATCTTCCGTAGACACGATCCGCGGTTATTTAATTTATAGTTGCATGGGTTTTCCTTATATCTCGATTAGGTGCACTGAATCAGAATTTCAAAACGTTTTATATTGTATGACTAAGATATTGTGATGCAGGATGTATTTGATAATAATTAATCAGGTATAAGTTACAATATCCTTTGAACAATATTACTACTAAGATTTGGCCATATTATTTAAATATTCTAACTTTTCTACCAGATAAATATTCTTCCTTTACTTTCTTGCGTAAATACGAAGTCGGAGAGGGAACAGTGACGGACTCCAAGATAGATATTTTTAACATTAGACAGTATCAAGACAGTAGACAATTCTTACTTAGTGGTGGTAGTACATCATACAGGAATAGAGAGTGCACTTGTGTTTGCGCGTACACTTGAGCACTATAATATCTCCTGCGCAGTTGGCTAGTCTCAATGAGATTGGCCGCCGTGGCCGGAATCGGTCAGGAGAACATCATCATCAGTACATCATCAGTCTTGTAGGCTGTGCTTTTTCTTTAACAGATAAGATAAACCTAAACAAAACATTCCTTGTGGAACTCAATGTCTTATAGAGTGCCAATGATATGTTTTGTGATCTTTGCAAATTTACTATCACTATGTTGATTATTGAAATAATATTTCGCATCACTACAATATGTCCAAACCGTCTTTTCCATTTATTTTTCTCTTTTTGATAATAATACAAGTAATAATGGCCAGCACGGCGTCGTCTGTGTTTGATGTTAAACGTGTTTACTGTTTATTCAAACTTTGTAAGTTATACATATTAATAATACATATACAATATATACATATTAATAATACATATACAATGTATACATATTAAACGTTCTTTTTGCATTGTAAAATATATTCAATTAAAATATTCAATCGGTCCAGGCACCACGCCGGCAGTGCGCAAGACATCTTGGCGATCTGTACCACTAGTCTAGTTTATTTTAAAAAAGGTTTTCGTTTTATTCAAAATATGAATATAAAAAAAATGTAGTTGATAAGTGTGTCAATTTAGAATAGCTCGATCGATTTAGATAATTTTTATTTTGAAATGCTTTTAATTGTTCGAATACGGTTCATAGGAAAAAAATCGGAAAAGGTGATCGGTAGAACATCGAGGAAAATTGATTTTGTAGGAAAAACAACAAAAAAAAATGAAATTTGGACAAGATATTCTCTGTTGGGTCAGCTTGTATAAAATATAAAATAATTTAAAAATAAGTCCGTTTAAATAAAACACTAATACAAATCTTGTTTTATTACGATTAGCCATATTTTATCAAAAAAAAATTCATAGGTTTTTATTTTACAACAATTGCTATACAATAATAATATATAACTAATTTTTAATTTATAATAATTAGTCAATACTTATAAAGAGTAACCAATCGGGTTAAAGTTGTTGGTACATTAATATTAAGGAATTAAGGATTTTAATATAAGTTTATCTATGTATTTCACTAAGTAGATGTATATACCTACTATATACTATACTAGCATTGCCCGCAGCCCCGCCCGCGTTCAGGTGACAAAAAACCAAATTCTTAGGTTTTACATATTAGTATACTCTTACATTGCAGTTTTTGTATTTTTTCTCAGAAATGAGACATTTTCCCGCGGTAAAAAGTATCATATATGTTGACCCGGATAACCAGCTATCACCATACCAAATTTCATCAAAATTCCTCCAGTTGTTTTTCTGTGATGCGGTAACAGACAGACAGGCAAAAATTCTAAAAACTATAGATTCTACCTCTGTATCGATAATAATGTTTATTACAATAAGATTTTTCAAAAATATCTAATGTACAGATTCGGCTTAGTTACAATTTTATTATATGTTTAGATGTAGGTCCATATGTATGGGCCGGGCAGCATGCACTACTAATTCCGCAGATTATATACTTACATCGTAACTAATACTACAAATGAGAAAGTGAATATGTCGTTTGTATTTGTCCTTCTTTCACATGTTAATAACGTGATTATTTGCATAGAGTTAATTAACCGACCGGAGAGTGGCATACGCTACTTTCTAACATAGCTTATTATTAATAATTATAAAAATAATTATT